TTAAGTGGTTGAAAGCTGGGTCTCCTTCTCATATAGCACTAGAAGAGATCATCACAAATAAGAAATTTTTGAAAGATTTAGACAAACTCACTGAGTTTCACCATACTGGTGAGTTGGAGCAATACCACTCAGTTTTGTTAAAGTACGCTCCAAAACATGAACATTTCAGTTACAATGGAATGGTAGCTCGCACACAACTCGCCATGTTAGATCACAATGCACATGTGCACAGGAAGCAAGCAATTGTACAGGTGGGGGAAAATAAAGGAGAAATGAGATTCAACGTTGTATGCCCCAAGCAAAGGAAAAACTGGGTAGCAAAGAAAATCAAGGAGGCAAAGTCATATGAATACATTGATTCAATGATGAAAGAAGTTCTCTCAATTAAGGAAGGAAAGAAAATTCGCCACAAATACAAGCCTGTCACCCAAGCAAAATGCATTGCAACAATTCCTAAGCCACCTAAACAGGAAGTAATAGAGCGACATAAAACAAGAATGAAATTCTAGCAATAATTTTAGCAGCACTGTAGGAAGCACAAAACGCAGTATACTGAGATCATATCCTTTAAGAAGGTTGTGGGAAAATATCAAATCAGTATCATACAATACCTTACTCATCCGCAAAATGAAATCCGATAAACTCGAAGTCATCCTCTTGGCCAGGAGGAGGAAAATGGGCCCGAATGCAACTGACTGCACAAGATGGCAACACAACACGCACTTCTCTCCCAAGAATACCCCAGCACCAGCTCACTAATTGTCTATATGCAACATGTCTATTTATTTTATGCTCTGGCCCTTCCACAGCATCTGTTCCGTACTGCTGCTTGTACTGAAACCAGGCAGCTTGTAAAACCCAGCGATTTAAACAAACTGCCTGAAATCCAGGGTTAGCTGTTATACATGGATAGCGTGCTGGTGGTTGTTCTTGCTGGTAAACTTCTTCGTTCTTGTTGGCAACCTCGGGAATTTCTTGACAACAAAGACACTCGACTTCCCTGTCCATTATTTGGCAACTTTCGCATGTACACCTATGTTTACATGTATAAAATGGTGTTTCGTATTAGAAGACATTGTATGCAAGTATTACCATATCAATATTCAGAACCTAACAGAAAGTTACCAGGTCTTATTCATATCGCTTAATCGGACAAGAATATTTTGTTCCGAGCCACTTGATTCAGCGTTCTCACTGTTTGACTCGCTTGAACGAGAGCCGTATGAATCACGTCTCGGATGGAATTGATAGCCCTCAATTCCGTCTGCTAGTTCTTGATTCAATAGAAAATCATCTAAATCATCACTGGACGACCTGTAATCGCTAGAACTCGACGAATTTGTAGACATATTTCTCCCCACAGGTATAAAATAAGCTTGTGTTTGTTTTCAGAGTGCGAAATTGTGCAAAGCACTCACATACGTCATTTTGTGAGAATCCGCTGGCCATTGCTGGCCATACGCGTCTGCTTGAGAAAGACAACATGGCGTCCGAAATATGCCGTTTTAACAGACTTTTAGATGCGATTTCTCCTTAACTAAAAAGAACTGTCCGTTCAAACTTCACAAGTAAGATTAAATAAGTATTATCCATTGATGGAAGGCTACTTTATTTTGAGTGGAGTATCCCTTTAAATTAATACAATAAAAAGAATAAATATATTGTGCAAAAAAATCGATTTCGTGAATTCGACTGGCTAACATATGGCATTAGAAAGTAAAATTATAAGCATTAGTTTATATTGACTCGCCACTATAGCAGCCTGTAGTTTGACATTGAATCAAACTTGAATTTTTTTGCCAAACCATAGCTTCATCGCAGCCAATGATTTGCAAATGTTTTAGAGGCTACCCACATGTACGCATTGCGTACCTATTTTTTAAGAATGTGCGCAGAGTCAATCAGTCTGTCCCACTTGTCATGAAAAGGGGCACAAATTCATAGACAGTGTACTGCGCGTGTGTACTCTGTGACCAATGTCACAAGTATACTTCTGAATATAAAAGTGTCATATACTTCTGAATATAAAAGCAACAATTCCAGAATCAAGTGCTACATGAATCTTAAAATTATAATATTGCTTATCCAGATACCCTCCCAGAAGCATACTGACAAAGTTGACACACCATGCATATTTATTTTGCAAATTATTGCTTTCGAGTAACTGTATAGCCACTAGACTTATTATATGAGTGCATATGCAATTAGTCGAAATGGATAATATGCAAAATAAATATGCATGGTGTGTCAACTTTGTCAATGAGGCAAACCGACAGCTTGAGTAATTTTTGAACTCACAGCATTCATCTTTATCTGAAGTATTTCAGGGAAAATTTGAATAAAAATTGCCAAGGTTTAAATCTTAAAGAATACACAACTGTTCACTTTTAAAAACTTTAGTTCAGTAAAAACATACATAACATTTTTTAAAAAAACATAACAAATGCATGTATTCCATACAAAGTAAGCTACTTGCATATAAAACATGTAAAACTATTTCCTTAAGTTAACAAATTCTTTAACATTTTCTATATTACCACATACAGCAGTTTTTGCAATTGCTTTGTAAATAGCTGATGAGCAAATGCTACACTAATTTTGTTCTCTTGCAATTGGGAAACCACAATAACAAAATGTTTCTAAAGCTACATGCTTTGGTACATATTGCTCTTCATATTTTGTGTACAAACTTTGACTAGGATCGTGCTTACGGATCCAAACATTGGCAATATAATCATGCCGCAACACCATTGACCACCTGGTCGATTTGTTTGGAGTGCTTTGCAAATTGGGCAAGTCTAACATGTTTGGCCTCACGACCCTGCATACTGTTGAGCCCTAAACCCATTCCATATTTGTCGAACAATATCTTAATGTGTCTAGGTATTGCATACCCAATGGTCCATACAGCAGGGGTTACTTCCTTTAACATTAGTACACTGATATTGTAAAAAAACTGACAAGCCTGTTGACATTTTTTACCTCATGCTAAGTAATTTCAACTCGAGAAAAATATGAGATTGCATCACGCAACTGTAGACAACGAAAAGCTAATGCTGCAAGTCTTAGGCATGGAGAGTTTGCTGCATGATTGAGGCATTGGATTATAAACATGAATTTATGGCAGAATATCTTTGTTTCTTTTCCTGTAAATCTATAAGAAAAAGCATTCTTTCGACAATCCCTAAACCAGCGTGTCAGCTTCCTAACTAACCGGGTGAGTCTCAGTGTATCTTTCAATGTTCTCAAATAAGCCAAGATAGGAGAATTTTCTGTCAAGATTTGTGAAACCTGGTGAAAGCTTGGATTTTCCCAGAGCTATCTCCAGCATAATGCTGAACAAGTACTGCTGAACAAGTACTGCTGTTGCTGTTATGAAGAGGTTCTGCATATGCACAGTTTATAAGGCTACCTAAGAGTGGCTCATTCTTGCCTGGAACCTAGATCCCTAATAAACTGTAAAACCCTATTTCTCTGTGTAGTTGCAGAAAGGTTAGTCTTGGCTAATTTTTCCTTTTTCTCTGCCACTTTTTTAGCAATGGTCAGCCTCTCATTAAAATCCCATGGGCGCCAGGTACAGGCCTCGTCTTCTCCTAATGACCCATTTATTACAACTTTATTATCATTGTTAACATTGCCAAAAGTTGAGAAATAATAAGCCGCATTGTTGAGCTCCCCAGCAACAGATGACAACCACTTCATGTCAGAGGGGATTAGCTCCACAGTAAACCTAACCTCAAAGCCATTAACAGTGTACACCTGTTTTTCTAGATCAGCTATATCATGCAATAACCTTTTTGCAAATCTCTTCATGCCAGTGTGACTCTCCAAACAATTAGCTCCACAGAGCAGATAATTATCATTCTGACTTTAATATGTTTTTTCTGACATTTAAGCACAAGAAAAGCCATGCGGTTGCTTTGTCACCCTTTCCGGAAGGTGCACCATCAGCACCAATAGCCATCCTAAAATGGTATGGTGGACTATCTAAATGTTTAAAAAATGACTCAGCTCCCAATTTCTGATCAACTAATAGATGCATACAGTGCAAACACAAGTGTAGATAATTCTCTAAATGAACCAATTACTGGCTCCTCCAAACTTTGTAGGCCCTGGCAAAAATCAATTGCAAAGTCATGAATGTTAGCAATATCAACTGATTTTAGAAAAGCAATTAGTTTATCATAGTAAACAAGCTTAGCAGTTTGTACATAACTACTAGTAGAAGTTAAATTGACACAGACTGACTTATACTTTTTCTTTGACATAAGGCCACCTTCGTACAATATCTTCAGGCTTCTACACAAGTTGTCTTGACCTTGCTCATATTCCTTAACCTGAGCTTTGGTTATAGCTGCAATAACCTTATCTTGTATCTTCTATGGAAAGCCATAGCTGTCTTAGGTGGTCAAATCTTATTTCTTTCAGTGACTTTAACATGATGTGCGTTAGATTTATCGCTATATGAGGTCTTCGCGACATTATACGGCGTGCTTCGAGCGTTATTTGGTGTGCTTTGAACATTATACACGGGGTCCTTAATGTATTTTGCGCGGTGCTTTTGACTTTACTCGAGGTGCTTTGAGCATTATATCCGGTTCTTTTACTATACTACGCTGTGCTTCGGCCATTTCACTTGGTCTATGTAGCATTATATGCTGTAACTGCAGCAATATACGCAGTAGTTTTATCATTACGCCCGATGCTTCAGCTACATGCTGTGGCTTCAACATTCTGCGCAGTACTTACGGCATTATACGCAGTGCTTCGAGCATTATATGCGGTGAATTAAATTTGCACGGTGCTTCTATCATAATACGCGGTGGTTTCATCATTATATTCAGTGAGCCAGTACTTTTGGTCATCGTTTATTGAAAAACGTGGGAACGAGGTTGTGAAATTTACAAGTTTAGCGTGTTTAGCGTTGCGCCGTCGATAGTTGAGCGTCAGTTACAGTTAAAGTTAATTGTTATTTATAAATTATTCGAGTTTTCTGGCATTTTCGCGGAGATTTTTTGGCACATATGGTACAAATATTACAATCAGTAAATTTGGGAAACTTGCTTGGTCGATTTCAAGAGCAGCGAATGGAACTGCAAACAGTTTTATCTGCCTCCAACCAACAGTTGGTCCGCCTTTGCGATGCTTGTAAGAGAAAAGTAGAAGAGAATAATGGATCTACTAGCAATACAGCTGCTGTTCGTGAAGAGCGGTTATCCATATTCAACCCAAGGAGACACAACAGCCGCAGCCAAGCATGTGTAACCGCAAGAAGCGTGAGCTCGAATGGCGCGAACAAGAGGGCAGCAAAGAGCAGTCCATGGACGCCAACCTTTGTTTGCATGGCAGATACCACTGCGTCCAAAACCTTGTCGTCTGTAGAGAAGGAAATCCTATTTAAAGCTGGTCTAGGATTGACAAAGATAAAGCTGGATATTCAAGACGACGAACAGGCCGTTGTTAATAAAATTACATCAGATGAAAAAGACGCCACTGGAAATTCCTATGGATTTCCGCAATTAAAAACGTGCAGAGGGTTTGAAATGATGCGCTGTCAAGCAAATTGTCGAGATCTCTCTGTCATCGACTGTTCGTGGAACGCAAAAGATCTGCGTTCGAACTTGGGTTGGGGACAAGGGAAGATTTACTTGCGACCAATACAGAAATCATTGTCAACACAACCTGTAGTGGTGGAAAGTAAATCTGAAGTGAAAGAGAAATGTTACATGTGTAATCAGGATATCCTTGTTCGCAAGCTACGGGATCACTTGTGGTCTTGCACCGAGGTTAGAGTCAAGTGAGGATAATGATGATGATGGTAATAGTCAAACTACTGATACTGTGCCACAAATGCCAACAGCTGCAACTTCAAGAAACAATACCACTGCGTTAACAACAATGACTACGGCATCTACATCCAGACCATTTGTTACCCCGCTAATTGTGCAACAATCCATCAACTCCTTAGACATTCCTGATAGTGCATCACCAAATGCCCACGCTTCACCAGTTTCAGTAAATACCTCGGCAATTGATTCATCAACAATTTCAACATCCTCTACTTCAAATGTTTCTTCATCTATTGTTCCCTCATTACCCCCCATCACTCCAGTTATTGACCTAACACACACCACAGCAGCTGCAATGAACAACAATGAGAAATCAGTTGATGACATTGTTGATGACACCATTTCCTACTGCCAACAGCATGGCATATTGAATCCTATTGAAATTTGTCGATATTTTCAATCTAAAATGGTGATAGGACGAGCACTAGAGGTGAAATCCATTGATGAAGCAAGTGAAGGTGCAACAAACTTCATCATGGTGGACCGAAATAATGTTATGGCAACGGCAATTGATGAAATATCATTTCTGACCGAATATAGGCGAACCTTACAGGTTCAGTTCTATGGTGAGGTATGTAGTTGGTAATATTTACATATTTTGGGTTAGAGGAAATTCTTTCTGTTTTCTGTTAATAATGTTGCATACTTTGTGACTATAGGTTGCAGAAGATTATGGTGGGCCGAGAAAGGAATTCTTTCGTTTAATCCTGAAGGAAATAAAGGAGAATCTTTTTGACAATGGACTCAGAGTTCTATTGAGGGAGAAGTACCTACCTGTTGGAATAGTGTTGGGTAAGTGCATGTTTGATCAAACGTTCTTTTCACAAACCAAAACATTGAAGTTGTCTGGCGGGAAAAATAAAAACAGTTACTCTTTCAAATACTGAGCTTTCACATTTCAAAGGCTTTGAAATATTTAAAAAGTATTTTTAAGTACTATTCACTGCTGTTCAAGTTTCTCCTTGGAGTTTTTTAACAACAACACATTCACGCGAGTCAAATTTTACGCAACGTCGCTTGTTTCGAGCAAATTTTGCAGCCTTTTGGTTTACCATTTATTTTGATATGTATGGAAAGCGAAACAAAGAAAGTACCCAAAGATAAAAAGTATGGGGGAACGACGCGTTGTGTGCCATTCTGTCGAAGTAACAATGTTAAAAATCCGGAATTATCGTTCCATAATTTTCCCCTGGATTCAAGCTTGAAAGAAACATGGCTAAATTTATTAGAAATACAAAGTCAACCTCTAAAAAGCCACAAAGTGTGTTCCCTACACTTCCCCGGTGGAAAAAAATCTTTTGGTGCATTGCCAACTGTTGCAAAAATATCATGCAGACAGACTGAAAATAGCAGTCGTGGAAGGGCACATACATGTGTAATAAACAAAGACACAACCACTGAAACAAACCAGTTTGAACAGCACAATACTACCTTTGATGTACAAGATTCGAACTACGAAAAATTGAAAAATGATCATGTAGCTTTACAAAGAAAATATGAGGAGTTATCATCTAAATATAAACAGTGTGCACTGCGATTAGAACATGTACTTGCCAGCGACATAAATTTTAAATTCTACACAGGTTTCCAAAATTATGCGACATTTAAAGTTTTCTTTGACTTTCTGCAGCCAGCATGTAATTTCTTAACTTATGCTGGATCGAGTAACAATGTGGGAATACTGGCAGATCAAAAAAGCAGGGGCGAAAAAGGTCTATGACACCAGAGCAAGAGTTGTTTATGGTTCTAGTCCGCCTGCGGTGCGGTCTCATGGGAGTTGACATTGCTCACAGATTTGGCATTTCAGAGGCTCAAGTTTCCCGTATATGGGCAACTTGGTTAGAGTTTCTATATCACAAGTTAAGAGCCCTTCCTATCTGGGCATCACGTGATTATGTGCAACAAACTATGCGACAATCTTTTAAAGAAACATATCCAAATACCCGTGTAATTATTGATTGCACAGAACTACTTCTTGAAATGCCAACATCATTTAGAAGTCGGTCTGTAACATACTCTTCATAGAAAAATCACAATACAGCTAAGGGGTTGCTTGGAATTTCTCCTGCTGGGTATCCAACATTTGTATCCGAATTGTATGCTGGAAGGGCATCTGATAAACAAGTGACAAAAGATTGTGGGATTCTTAATTTGCTTGAATCAGGCGATGACATTATGGCAGACAGGGGTTTTGATATAGCAGATGATATGCTTGCTGGGGTTGGGCTTAATATACCACCTTTTCTAAATGGTGCTAGTCAACTTTCACTTGGGGCTGAAAATGACACACGGAAGATTGCATCATTGAGAGTGCATGTGGAAAGAGCAATACAACGTATAAAGAGTTATAGAATCATAAAAAATGTTTTTCCCCTCAAGATGTCATCAGACTTGAACAAAATATGGGTAATTTGTTCATATTTCACTCTATTTTACCCACCCTTGATAAACGAAAAGTGTGAATCAGAATAAATATCAAACAATTGTTTTAAATTATTTCTTAAGTAGCTAGTTTCGGATAAATGTATGTGAAATAAAAAGAAGTAAGTTTTGGTAACATTGTTTTGTACCACAATTCATGGTCAAAGTAAATTCTTTCACTAAACACTTCTTTGTTTGTATAAACAATAAAGTCTCCCCAATTAACTTTGCAGGCAGACATAACACCTTGCATTTGATAAAAATGATGATGGTTTCTCTTAAGTTGTGGTTTTCCATTAAGTACATGTAAATAGAATGATGGGTCAACCTTGCAGGCTTCTATAATTGTCATTTCTTTTTTTTAAAATGGACATTTCACTTCTCCTATTCCAAATGATGGCTCTACATGATCATGTAGCAAACAGTCTGGGCTTGCACCAAGACATGGGGCTTCAGTGTTAACAAATAACCCACACTGAGCACATGCACTCATCATCAGGTCTTCCAAATTCTTTTGCTCTAAATATTTTTGAATGGCTGTCTGCTCATTACTGTTGCCCCACTGACAGGCTTCTGGGGGCTTAGTAACATTACTTGCTGGTAAGATGATTTTGCTAAGAAGTGAAGTAGGGAATACATTCTCTCTTTGTTTCATTACAGTACCAAAATGTGAGGCAGTTAGACAACCTTGTCGTTCATTAAACCATAGTTTGCATTGGGATTGACCTCTTGTATTGCATTCAATATCAACCATTTTTTCTTTGGTTGTATAAAGAGTGCTTTTAGTATATGGCATATACTCCTGAGAAGGTAAATATTTGCACACTTCTGTAAAGTCAGGAACAGTAATTTGTTCCAGTATAGATTTTCGAATTTCAACATTGTACATTTGATTTGCAAATAGGTCTGCATCATTAAATGCCTTTTTAGAGGGTAATTCCTCGACAAATTCCTGATAGTGGAATGGTTCACAATTATTAGATGCTAAACGCCCCTGCAAATAATCACAAGTGCCAACAGTTTTCAAACCATCTTCTAGTTTTTTTTAAATCTTCAACATTTACACACTTAGCAAAAACAGGTGCTGGGTTGTTGTATTCTGAAACATAATGCTTCTCTGTCTTGGAAGTTGCTTTGCTAATTTTTACTTGGTCGAAAAGCACTGCACTCTCAAGTTTCTCACTAGTATTAGGCACATGCCCCTGTTGTAAAAGTTGTGTACATGTTAAGTCATCTGGGACTTCAGGTAATTCAAGTTGGATATAGTCCAAAATTTGAAACAATAAGGCAGCTACATGTTTACAGCAGCCACCTTTTCCTGCTGTACAAGTACAACTTGCATGGGATATTTTACCAGTGTCTTGGCATAGGTGAACATATACAGCATAGTGTGCCTTTTTCATAGAGGCTTGCACAACACATTTAAAGAGGAAAAACTTTTCCTGGCCTTTTAAAACATTAGGTTTGACTTTAACCTGGGTAACCATCTTATCTTTGAATAGTTGATAGCCGTACTTTTTATGCTTGTGAGCATTCGGTGGTTTTCCAAGTTTACTTGAGTCGTCAGTTATCAAATGTTCAAGCAATAATGCATGTGTAAATGGGGGAATACCACAAAGATTTTTTGTCCACTGTACTTCATCCTCCATATCAAAATAAATGGTAAACCAAAAGGCTGCAAAATTTGCTCAAAACAAGCGACGGTGCGTAAAATTTGACTCACGTGAATGTGTTGTTTGTTAAAAAACTCCAAGGAGAAACTTGAACAGCAGTGAATAGTACTTAAAAATACTTTTTAAATATTTCAAAACCTTTGAAATGTGAAAGCTCGGTATTTGAAAGAGTAACTGTTTTTATTTTTCCCACCAGACAACTTCAATGTTTTGGTTTGTGAAAAGAACGTTTTATCAAACATGTGTTGTTTCATGATCGTCAAGTGTGCAAACATTTTTACCTCTCGAGCCGCTACAATTAAACCGATCGTTGAAATATTCGGGCAAACACAAAATCACAAGGTGTTCCTCACTACAAAAATAATTTAATACAGTACTCACGTTTTGATCGTGAAATACTAAAAAATTTGTACCTGACAACGGCGGATCGAACTCCTTCCCAGCTTCAATGACTCTGTATGCTATCTTGAATATTTTAAGTGCAGTCGCTCGTAGAACCCCAAGACGCAGTAGAAATACGAAACAAGTTGTACATATTTAGTACAAACTTTAATTGAATAAAAAATGACAGAAGTTTTCTTGCAAATTTTGTGTGTTTAGCACAGTGCCACTTTCGAAAAATACAATCGCCATGTTGAAAAATTTTGCTATGTAATTAAACTACCGTGATGCTTTGCAATTCTGCAATTGGCCCATAATATATAAAATAAGATTTATTCTTTCAATTGAGATTACCTATGTTTTATTACATTATAATTAAATCAGAGTATATTTGCAAATTTACTAAAGTACTAAATATTACTTGTAGGTGGAAGACGGGGTACAATTAGCCTGGCTCATGTGCTCATGTTTACAACATGCGCTGATGAAGAACCTCCATTGGGATTTACAATTAATCCATCCATCAATTTTGTGGAAGTGGCAGGAGCTGACAAATTCATACCAACTGCCAATACTTGTATCTGTGCCCTGACACTACCACACCCGACACATCTCATCCCTATGCCAACACCTGATCATCTATATTCTCTTTATGACTATGCATTTGCCAATGCATTCTTTGGGAATGTTTAAATATAATTCACTGTACTCATAAACAAATGTGTAGCACCTTTTTTGAAAGCACTTGATAAACATTTTTGTGTGCAAAGATGCTTTGTAATTTCGAGTACCTAGAGTGCATTGCCATTCAAAGTGTTAATGTATATTAGTTTTAACTTAGGATTACTGTTAGGGTTTCAATGTATATGGTAGGCTATCACGTAGTCGCCAACGTTGAACTTTAATGTTTCTCACCAAAAGCATCTGCTTCACAAGTTTTTCTCCAGAGTGAGGAAATTCTTGGGTAATTTCCTTGATTTGAGCGTCCAAATTTTCGTCA